TCTGAAGAAGGAGAATGGTGAGTGGGACTGTCCCCTGGCAAGCCATCCCTCCCACCAATATTCAGGTTTATTTGTCATGGTATTGTGTTGGAGGTTGTGTGATTGTGTGGAGGAGTTTTTGGACCAAATGGAAATGTAGAAGGGGCTGTTGAGGTATGGCTCTGACTCAAAGGCTTGTTATGGCTGTCCCCATGGCAACACATTCTACTGTGTTTGACATCATTGCTTTGAGTGGTGAAATTATACTGTCTGTAATGTGAGGGGTACGTGGGCCTGCATGATGTGGCATGAGCCAGGGCACCTCCTGAATCCTGCATCCTTGCTGGGTTGGGGAATCCAAGTAAGCCGTGCTCTGGAACTTTTGCACTTGTGACTGACATTGTGTCTTTTTCTGTACTGGCTGCATTGATTTGGCGGTGGAGCTCATTGTAAATAAGTTTGAGTCCCTCAGCTTGCCCTCAGGCATTTGCTATTGGGATAAGGCCTTGGAAATAGCAGAGAGGGCTATTCCAGCCATGCCAAGTGTCTCCAGTCATGTCTGTGGTTGAGCCTGCCATCTCCCCAGTGTCAGCGTTCCAACTGGTCCTTGTCATCTCCTGGGTTGGTCTCAAGAATATTATCTGAGCCACGTGGATTTTCTCTTATTGTTCAGGACTTCATTGCTTTGTGGTGGCCAGTGTGAATGTTGTATGTTACTTTTGAGGAGTCTGGACCACTTGCATAATGGTTTTTTATCTGCTTGTTTTGGAAGTGGTTCTTCAACCTAACTGTGGAGTAACTGTTTGTGTTGTCTTTGCCTTTCAGCACTCTCAGAATCTGTTCAGTGAATGTTAAGAGTAGAGTTTCCTTGAGTGCTCATGTTGCAACACCAAGTGTGAAGGGAGGACTTCACCAGGGATGTGTTTCTCCTCATCTCCTGGGTAGTTCTCTCCCGCAGCTTCCGATTTTCAAAAGTGATCTCAGAATCACAAAATTGTGTGGCTTACAAAGGACACCTCTAGGTCACCCAGTCCTCCTGCTAAATCAGGTTTCCTATTATAGGTTGCACAGAAAAATGTCCTTGTGTGTTTTGAGTATCTCCAGAGAAGTAGACTCACTGGGTTCTGTCACAGACACAATAGCTTTTGCCTCTTCCATTTAGTTGTGTGGGATCTCATGGAAGTTTTGTACTTACTTTGGTATAACACACTTCTGTGTAATCAGCTGATGTTTTCCTGGTTTCAAATATTCTTGTCCTTTGTCATGGAAAATAATCATTATAAAATGGTTTTCTTACCTGCAGAACAGGCAAGCAATAACACTAGTGCTCGATTGTCTGCCAGTAGCGTGGGCTGTTAAGTCACTGGAGACTAGATTTTCAGAAAACACTTTTCTTCCTTTTTTTTGTTTTCTGTAGAGTTATTGCGTGCGCAAAGACATAAAGGTAAGAAAAATACCATTCTGAATCCCATCTCTTAAAGCTTTAATATAGCTCTTGAGTAACCATTTGTTCTCAGGCCACTTGTTCTATAAGTAACAGCACAAGAGAAAGAACTTATTTTGAATCCTTTAGTTATCCATTTGCTGGCTTAGAAATGTCTCAGTAATTTCTGTTCTTCTGGGATATATAACAGAATTGTTTCCTCTATAAAATTAGAGGTTTGGTCTGTGTAAGAAAGAGGCATTTGATTCAGGGTGTTCAGCTAGAGCAATACTACTGCTAAGTGTACACAAACCTGCTGAATTTATCATGCAACCTTGGCAAATGGCATTATTCCTCGTTCCCTTGCAAGAAGATTTTGTGATTCTGGTTTTGTTGAAAGAGGAGTTGTGTTCCAAAGCATGGCTCTTATAGTCTGGTCTCTTCCTTAGTGTTGAACAATTCCTTAGTCAAAAGCTCATAATCTCCTTACATTTTTCCTTTGTGTTGCATGCCATAGTTGCATGCTGGTGTCTTTCAGTATGTCACAGATGAGACACAAAGGAGAAGGGAGATGACTTGGGTTGCCAGAAGTTGGCGGTATCCTGGGCAAAGAAATTTCCTAGGATCTATCAGAGTGGAGATCAAGGCAAGGCAGAGGAATAAATATATATTCATAGGATCAAACAGCAGGAAGCCTCAAAGCAGTAGACCTCTTGTTATTTAGTACTTAACGAATTGCCTTATTATCGCAGTTGATGTCACCCTCGATGCTGACACAGCTCATCCTAGACTGCAAGTGTCTGAAGATGGGAAGAGTGTAACAGACACTGGTGTGATGAGAAAGGTGCCCAGCAAGGAGGAGAGATTTGATTCCCACACTTTTCTGTTGGCGAAGGAAGGTTACACAGCGGGGAGACATTATTGGGAAGTGGATGTTGGAAAGAAGCGCAACTGGAACTTGGGTGTTGCCCAGGAGACTGTGACCCGGAAAGAGACAGTGGCTCTGTCCCCAGAGAATGGTTTCTGGGTCATAGGGTTAGCAGATGGGCAAGAGTATTGGGCCCACTCAGATCCCTGGACCCGTTTGACAGTGAGTGGTAGACCACAGAAGATTGGGATCTTCCTGGACATCTCATCCAAGAAGTTATCATTCTTCAGTGTTCGTCAGAAAAAATTGGTGTACACTTTTAGCTTTGTTCATCATCACATCCAGAATGTGAAGCTTTTTCCTTTCTTCTCAACAGGTTCAGCTACAACCAGTTCTGACACTGAGCCTCTAAGAATTGCATGGGGGTTTGATGATGATGACAAGTGAATGGTTGAAGTGAAAATGCGCGGTTAATTAATGACTAAAGTCTAGAGTCTGATGTCAGAGTACACTGTATTCAGCCCCATGCTTTGTGCCACCAAGTTGAAACATAAAATTCTTCCACCATTGCTTGCTAAGTCTTCTGTGAACTATTTCTGCAGGAAAACTCTGATGTCAGGCTGCTGGTCAATACGTAGAGAGAGCCTCCAGGTATTTCTATGAACCTACACATGTATTTTCTAAGCACAGGAACTGATCACTATTGTTTTGTGTGTGTATGCCTGTGTAGAGATTATTCCATCAGATGTGAAGAAGAGCATGAATTCTTTTTCTGTGCACTGATCACCACAGGAAACATTCATGACACTTATGTGCAAAATCTGGCTATTGTGCTAGCATGGGAGAGCTTTCTGATGAGCTGAAACCACACTACTTAAGAATACCTCTGACTTCTGACACTAGATGATCACCAGTCATGGCAGATCCTTGTATATCAGTTGCAAAAACAGTCCTCTTACCTGGAAATGGCATGGAATATGGGCCAGCCTTCCTCATTTTGGTATATGGTCTGAAAAATATTCAGAAGAATTTACAAGGTACAAATATTCTCTCATTTTTAGTGAGTACAGACAGAATTCACACATGAAGATGAAGATATCTAAGCTTACATGTCAGTGAATTTGTTGTTGACCTCTTCTGCCTTTCCTGCTATTTCTATATTCATGGATTTCATCTTTTTCTCCCCTCAGGAGAGAATGGATACATCCTCAAGAACCTATTTTAGAATGCATGCACAAAGTCTCCTTCGCACAGTTTTCAGAATACCCTCTGTCAGAGCAAGAATGACTTTACTTCACTCTTTGTTGGTGTCTATTGCTGTTAGAACACCTAATCCTAATGTGCTAGTGTTGCCTTAAAGAAGTTTGGGAGAATATAAACCCCTTTGTATTCAGCTTGACTTAAACACTGAGTGATCCCAGTTTTGGCACTGAAGTCTTGTTATGTTCAATATATCACAATTAGAAATACACCTTCAGTGTAGTTGCATTCAAGTGAACTAACACAACGATCTTAAGAAATTTGGTTACCTTCAGTGAGAACTCTACCACCTAGATTAATGCATAGTGCTATTTACTGGAGCATCAGATTACAGATTCATTTGGAATGATGGGGATAAATACACTGTCAGCAGAACATGTGAATAATGCAGCCAACTGCATATGATTTAAATTCTGAAATAATTCTACAGAGACTTGTAAGCTTCCCATGGATGTGTTTGGTATAATTGAGTATGTGAATCTTGCTCAAGTGGCAAGGTGGAGAAGATGGGCTCACCCTGTCTGACCCCAGAAGTCAGTCCTCCTAACTTGTCTGTTATCTTCTACAAAATTCATCCTATTTTAAGCCATTTAAAGTGTTTTCTTGCTTTCTCATAGATCTTCAGTGACTCCAGTCATACATACATTTATTGCAATTGGTACAACAGAAAATTAAAAACTTCAGGCTCAGGATGACAACTATGCAGTTTACCATTTCAGTAGTACCACCAAGTTCCCATCCCCGCAGTGTTATCAAGGATCCTGGCTGTGGTGTTCACATTCCCCTCTACTCTCCATGCTGTGACTCTTGGAGTCAGCATACCAAGCTGAGCTTGTGTTACTAACATCTAAGGTAGTAGGTTTTGCTGCTTAGGGAGCTATCATAGAACAGATTCCTTGCATATTCACTGTATTCCACCCTGGAGTTTTCCTCAGCACTGCACCTTCTCTTTATAGATGATCATCAACTCCAGTAATTATTCACCAGCTGGCAAGATTGTAATTACCCAAGGAGGCACTGCAGACACAGTCAGGTATTAGTATGCTGGGTAATCTTTTTGATTACTCAGAGCTCTGGGCAGATAATGATGGCAGAGTGGCCACATATCAGCTACTTCATGAGGCACTAAAAATCCCACAATTATCATTTCCTCTTGCACGTTCACCTGGGCACAAGCTGAGCATGTGTCCTAGACACACAAAAACACACAGAGACACACATGGGACACTGATACTTGTGTCCACAAAGACTACCCCAGCCAAGGGCTACTTTCAACAGCACTTACACACAGAATTCACATAAAACAGACACAGACTGCCAAGACTCCTTCTTTCTCTCCAGTTGATAGAGATAGAAGTTCTCTAGAGAAGAATACAGCACTCTATATGTTCACAGACATACAAGTATTTTTGGATACTCTGAGTACCTCTTTCGGTCTCTCTGTTCATCAAGCAGAACCAGTGTGGAACCGTGAGTATGTGTATGTGTATGGTGACTGGAAACCCAGCCCAGATCCTAAGTCCTCTCACAAGACTTCATGCATTGCCTGCACACCAGTATGTCTAACTTGAAGTTCTCTGCAGATGCACACACTCACACATATCTCTCAAGCACACCACATTCTCAAGTTCCCCTTGGTGTATCAGCACAGACCCATCAACAACCTGATCACCTTACCCAAATCAAGCCCCCTGCTACTTGCTTTAATTTTGCAAGTGAATATACATGAGCATCCCATGCACACCAGTTTGCAGAAGATACACATACTTGGGAACCTCAGTATTTGACACCAGGCTCATGTATTGTGACCCAGTGCCCTACACCTGTTCACACCAGTTCCACCAGTATCTGGGAAAACATACCAGTCCCAACCCATGACTGGAAATAGAAGACCCCCACTTGCTCCATTACTTCACACTACAGCCCCCCACACTCCAGTAGTTGTGCTACAGCCTGTAGCCTACAGACTGAGCCTGACTCCAGTAGCAGACCCCCAGGCCATCCACTGATCTGCCCAGTGGATGGCAATCTGGGATCATAGGCTGTTGGGCCCTCCCAAGTCCAACCAATAACACCAGGGCCCTCACCCACGCTTATAGCTGATCCCACATCTGCAGGCTACATCCTTGGCTTAACTCCAGTAGCTGCATGCAGTCCACTCACACCAATCCCTGTAGCCAGCACCCCAGGCTAAGATCCCACAAGGCCATCACCTGCTGACAGTAGGACCCTCACTCACTCCACTGGCTGGCACTAGAGTTCATACATCAGTGTATCTTACTATAAATATTCTAATATGCTTAAGAAATAAAATATACTTAAACATACAGTTTTTGTTTTTGTTTTCCATCAAAAAATATTTATTTCTTTTCTTGATAAAAATACAGTGGACTTGGACTTGCCTAATTGGATGGATTTCATCAAACTTAAATGAAAATAGGAAATAAGCATGGATGCAACTCCTCTTGCAACAAAGTGGTGGAAAGAGAGGTCACATAGCACCTCCTGTATTACAGCTGTCTCTTCTGGGAACTGAATATGTTTTGTAAACTGGAGACTTTCTTACCCAAGAACAAGAACTCAATCAGCTAGCCAGGGTTTTTGGAATCTGCTTCCAATTCTATTTACATTAACTGGTTCTTTTTTTCCCTCTAAAATTTTGTGCCTTATTCATCTACATCTTCCTTTGTCATTGAGTATTACTTTATACTGATGTTTATTGGTGATTTTTCCCTTCTATTTTTGACTGAACTGTGTTTCCATAGTCAGTTCTCTGTGCTTTTAATGGAACAGGAAAGTTTGGAGGGCAAACAGGCTTGAATTTTCCTTCCCCTTTTGATAGAAAAGGGTAAAACACTTCTGCAGATTCCTTTCCAGGACCTATAGGTATTCTCAACACTGTGTTCCCCTTCCCTGAACCATAAAAGTAGATTTGTGCTTCCTCCAAGTCCAGAAGCACACCAATCACTGAGTCATTCATCTCTTTCTTCTCAAGACTGTCTTTTCCCGTGATAGAGTAAATCTCACCCCTGGATCTGTGCAGAGCCCAGTAGTTCTCCCTAGCAAGTGTCCCTTGCTCTTCTTGTTTCCCTTTGTGCCTCATGACCCCCAGCAGCCAGTCCTGCTGCTGGCCCACATCCACTTCCCAGTAGTGTTTCCCAGATGCAAACCCTTCCTTTGCCACCAGGACAGGGACTGTGGAGGGGCTGCTCATGCCAGCAGGTTCACATGCGTTGTTCTCAACATCTGGAGCCCCTGGCACTTGGAGGTCGAGGTGTTGGCATTCAGGATTTGCAGTAATGGGAACTGGAGGGGAAAATGACAATGACCCAGTGAGCAAAGTGTTTCAGGGCCATATCTGTGGAGTGGGAAATGGGTTGAAGCATTTCAGGGCTTTAGTAATCTGGGCATGACTTGACAAGGAATTGAAACGTTTTCCCTAAACAGGGCAAGAAACAGACATGTAGGAACCTACAGGTCCCTTGGAGCTGTCATAGCCATGATGTCTCCCTTGTGGACAAATCCTGGTGATTCTCACACACTTTATAATTAATTACTCTCTTTCACTTTTCCATTATGTCAGGGAGGTAGTTGAGTCACCATCCCTGAATGTCTTTAAAAACTGTTTGGATGTGGTGCTCAGGAACATGATTTAGTGGAGTGTTGTTAGAGTTATGGTTAGGTTGTGTATGAACTCGAAGATCTTTAAGGTCTTTTCCAACCTGAACGATTCCATAATCCCATGATTCTATGATCATTATTATTACTGCTATTATTATTATTACTATTATTACTATTATACATTCAGTCCTTACATCAACACAAATCTGCAACTTCTTTTCTCAGTATTTCCAGTGGTCACATCCAAGCCTCATTTTGTTTTAGCCATTTAAAGTGAAGGCTTATTCCTGTAACTCCAGCTCAGCTGCCTGATCTTTAAGATCATGCCATTGTCATTTCTGGAGAACTTGGGCAGAGAAATACACCATTTTCCCACCCTTTCTCCTGTCTGCTTACCTGCTTTGTCCCAAGCTTTCCAGAAATCTGCAGAAGAGAAAGAGAGGGAAGAGTTTTTGAATCTGATGTGTGGTTATGCAATTGTCAGTCTGTCTTCTGTTGCTTTCTGATGTGCAGTTATTGCCACTACTGTGGTTCTGCCCAAGGCCTGACTTCACCTAAAGCAGCAGTACGTATTTCAAGAGAGTAAAAGTTTTAAAACACTTACCCAACTCAGCTTCTACTCTATCTGCAAGAAAAACACATTCTAGTTATTAAAATGTATTTTGTTGAAAGGATGTACTTGTCAATAACATCAATAATCAGTTTAAGAGAGTCTTCTCTGTTGTGGTTCAGTTTTACAAAGTTGGACAAACACAGCCCACAAGACATCAAGCTACACAATACATAAATACTAGCACATTTTGAATTATTGCAAAAGAGGAACTCCATTCTGTGGATCATTATAGTGGCCCATCTCTGGATGTGCTCCAACATGTCTATGTCCCGCCTGTACTGAGGACTCCACATATGGACACAGTACTACAGGTGAATCCTCACCAGTGCAGAGTAGAGGGACAGGATCACATCCCTTGACCTGCTCTTGGTCATGCATCTTTTGATACAGCCCAGGATACAGTTGAGTTTTTGGGCTGTGTGCTCACAGTGCTGGCTCATGTCCAGCTTTCCATTCACCAGTACCCCCAGGTCTTTTTGTAGTGAACAAACATAACACATTATGGTTGCCCGTAGATCTGTCCTAGCTTTAGGTATAGTAGCTTCTGGCAAGAAGAATTATTCACAGTTCAGGAAAATCTTACAGCGTGCCTCTTGACATCTGTATTGAAGGAAGAAAGAAAACTGAACTGTGATGAGGTCTGTGCAGTCTCTTCATGCTCAGGTATGCTTCCTCATGCTGGTCTGAACACTTGCTTTATTTTTTGTAAGGTTCACAAGAGTAAGATTTATAGAAGACGTTCTCTTACCAAAGCGACGTTTTGTTTCCCAGAATCCTGCAAAATAATGGCTTTAATAAGTGAAGAGAAATCTCAAGGAGATGAAGATTCAGAGTTGAGGTATGAAGCAGATAATTCACACCAGTGAAATGAAGTTTTCTTTAAAACGTGCCATGCAAATATTGTCAATCATATGTTAAAGCTTTGACCAAGAAGGGAAAAAGCTCAGGAGCCATAAGCTAGAGCTTCAAGGAACTCTTGTAGGGCCAGCAAAACTCAAGGCGGATGGATTACAGAGAAGAAAGAAAGTGTCTCAGGACTTATAGAAGCACAGCCATGCTATGTAATAATCTTATAGGTCATAGCCATTTAATGGATGTAATAGCTGCCTTGATTTTTAATGAAATAGCTGATTTTCTTTCCCATTTACTTCTAAGAATGCATCAAAACTGTCTTGTTTGCAGTATTTCCTCACCTGCATTGAATGTTCCCCTTTCTGCGTCTAAGTTACCAACAGACAGAAAATACCAAAGGAAAAAGAAAAGAAAAAGCAAATATTATTGCCTTGAATGGTTTGTTCCTTTCTAGAAGTTGAAAGGATGATCAGATGTGCTTAAAAATCATGCCATTCCACTCAATAACAAAAGCTCCAAAATATTCATGGAAAATGGATCATAATGATATTTTGAACCTTTAAATTTATAATCAACCATCAGCACAGGTCACAGTAACATTTGATAAAGTGAACAATCACATCCAGAAGAACATCGTATCAAAATATTCTACATCTCATCTGCTCTTTGCGGGATGTAAATAGCTTGCTGAATAGAAGTACTCGAATTATCAAAACCATATTCTTACCTAAGTTTTTCTCCAAATCCTCTTTGTCTGAAAGAGATGACATCTCATTATCATTGCATCTGTTACAGTATCAAATTATAAAAATAATAATACTCATTGTTTTTGAATGCTGTTTCTTCCATAATATGTTTACATAGGACCAACTGTCATTATTCCAATCTATCTAGTGAGCAAAAGAAGGATACAATGCACAATGACAATTAAGAAGCCAAATGACAACTTGGTAATGCAACACAGAACTGAACAACCAGTAAGAGGGTTGAAATGACATTCATACAGCCTCTTTGTGACACCTACCCGTTGAATATCTCAGTCTCATTTAGTTGCCTGCCATGTCCCCTAGATTGCAAGTAGGAAATCCACACCCTTTTCCCCCCACCAGTTTTTCTCCCCAGTAATAGTTTTCTCATAGAGTTGAAATCTGTTCTCTCTCTGACCACATCTAATTATAGATGACAAGGAGTATTTACTGTTTTTGAGCTCGTCCATCGGTGTTTCTAAGAATAAAACAACAGACAACAAAAATTGTAATATTAATTATTCACTTGAAACTTCACCATCTCAAAAAAAAAAAAACAAACAAACAAAAAAAAAAAAACAAAAAAAACATGACAAGAAGAATCTGTAATGCTCAAAGCAAGTTGAACCCATGAGTTTTGCAGAACAACTATGTTGTTTTAACAGGGAATTATGTCAGTAGCAGAGCATCTTAAAAGTACTAGAAGAAACATGAGCTAATGGAACAGGCATATTGTCAGGCATTTCCCAAAGAAGCCATGCTATTCCCTCCTATCTGGAGAAATACCATGGGTGGAGGGAACTTCCTTACACAAGAAGGCAGGCTGATTAATATTATGTCTTCTTATCGGATTCATTTTTTGGTGCTGACACATCAGTATGCAACTAATTCTTGTTTTGGGGACTAGTAGAATAATCACAGTTTACTTTTGCCTCTGGAACTACAGAAACTTTTGGCTTTATGGTGGCACTAGAGGGAAGAGTTTATCTGTGCTGACGATTAGATCTGCCTGTGAGTGGTGGAAGCAAAACTCCCTGCTGAAGCAGCAGTGGTGGTACTTGTAGCAGATGAAAAAGAAGAAACACTTGACCTTGGTGCATTACAAAACTGAAATGTCTCAGTATTGATAGTTCCTGCATTATGATCAGAACAATAATTTAGGAAAATGCTTTTGAGACTGTTGCTAGCTCAGAAGTTGAAACTATTGTCCCAATGTAGGATTGTGTGAGTTTATTTAGCCCCCTCGTTACTCACCTTCTTTTTGTTTTCTTGTATAACCAACTGGAAATGGAAGAAGAATTTTAATTATTTCCCCAAGAAAAAAACAGTCTGCTTAAATAATCAAAGTATAATTCCAATATGAGTTTTCTTTCAAAAAAAAAAAAAAAAAAGAAAGAAAAAAAAAAAGCTGTTCTAAAGATGAGCTGCATATTCAGTGCCTATTTATCATTTGTGATCACTTAAAACTGTATCTCACAAACAACCTCCTTGTTAAGAACGTTTTGTGCATTCACACATGTATCATCCTCACACACCTATCACTTTTTTCCTCTCTCCATCTCATTCCTGTCTGTTTCTTTCTCATACTGATGTTGACATGCCTCTTCATTTTTCATTAACTGCATTTTGCAGTGTGGTTACAACTTCCATTTCAGCTGTTGTTGGTGTAAGTACTTACTCTTCAGCTTATAGCCTATAGCAGCGAGAACAGCCACAGCACAAAATGTAAACACAAGGAAGGCAGTCATCCAAGGGGAAGTGGATGGAAAGAAGACATCTGTAAAATATAAACAGTGTTCTTTTCAATGAATGTTTGTGAAAGAGTCTAGGGCACATCCCATATGTCAAAGACATATGAAATTAATGCTATAATTTTTGCTGCTATGTATCACTTTTGGACTCTTTTTGCCATCTGTGGCAGTTGTAGCTGCCCTCCCATTCTCCATGGTGCATTGCCAGATAGAGAAACTGACAGAGATATGTTGGAGATGCCATCTTTATGTAAGAAGTATGTGTTGAATGATCCATCTGAGGACATTATTTTAATTATTGTCCTCATAGATTTTTTTTGGGGGGGGAAAGAAGAATCATCTACAGTGGTATTTCAGATGGAAAAAAAGGATTCCTCTGCTTCACTTTTGAAATTAAGATCCAAATGGAAGGGTGGCACTTGCTGATGTGCAGTCATCACGCTGTTGTCAAGGAGTGAAAGAGGATGAGAGCTGACATTCATCATTACCTACTGGCACCCTTTCCAAATTGTTTCAGTGCTCTCAGGTAATGATAAATGAGAATTGACTAATATTTCTTGATAAGATGAATCCTGAACTTAATGAGTAATATAAAATTTTACTTATCCATTCATGTTATCCATCTCAGCACTTGCCATTTATGTCTTTGCTGGACATCCAGAATCTCTCTGGGAAAAATGGAGAGATGATGGACAGCAGCCTGCAAACTGGTCCTCATCAATGTCAGCCCTGGAGGTCACTTACCTGAAATCAGGACTCGGGATTCACATGCTGTGCTGAGGATATCATTGACTATTCTGCAGGAGAGTTCCATGTCCGATCCTGGTTCTAGGGTCATGGAGCTGACAACATCAAAAAGGCCCGAAGATGCCTGCTGGCTTTGTGTGACCACTTTCTCCTTCCGTATCTGTCCTTTGCTGTCCAGCCAAATTACCTCAGGTTGTGGAAACCATCCCTGTGACTTGCAGGTGAGGCCAATGCCCTGACCCACATGGCTGTCCAGGAAAACTTCAGACTCATCACTCTGAGCTATAGGAAAGGAAACCAAAAACAGGCAATGAGATATTCTCTGACTGAGCCCATGTTGGAAAGATCTTCCTCCTTACCAAAGATACACAACTGCACTAAGAAGTAAAAAACACCTGACATTCCACTCACCTGCCACATTCAGGTCAACCACCACTTCATCATACCAGTTATCCAAAGAGACACTGCAGATGTACTTCCCTTTATCAGAGACCATGACATTTTTCAGGTGAAGGGATAAGTTCCCCTTAGTAACTTCACTCAGAAAAAAATTTGTACGGCCCAGGTATGCCTTATTCTCCATTACTGGATTTTCTGCATTTTTTCCATCATAGGTAGTCACTTCAGTGTTTAGGGAATTTCCGATTAATGTCCACTGAACAAGGACTCCCTCAGAGACTGACTTAGCTTCCAGCTGGCAGGGCAGGGTGACTCCTTTTCCAACAACTCCAAGCACAGGATCATAAGGAGGTATAATTCTTAGCTGACCTGGAAGAAGATGTAGATGTAAATCTTGCCAGCCACATTTTGTATGTTCTCATTAGCATTTTGTATGGGAAGCAGTAATGTCAGTTAGTGAATGTAAGTCTTCTGTTCTGATAAAAATCAGTGCATCGGAAAATGCTGTGGATCAGGATGTTATCTCAAGAGTTATTTCAATAATTTCCTACTTTGAAATCAGGTGCTGATGGAGAGAAATGGAGAAATGGAGACAAATGGAGAGGAAGAAATCCCATCATGGTAAGGACTCGGGGATTCTGGTGGATAAGAAGCTGGCAGTATGCACTTGTAGCCCAAATGATAGTGTTGTGTGCTGCAATGACAGAGGGTAGCAGCAGGGGAAGGGTGGGGATTGTCCCGCTCTACTATTCCCTTGTGAGGCCTCATATGGTGTACTGCATTGAAACCTGGGACCCCCACCATGAGAAAAATGTGGAGCTGTTGGAATAAGTCTAGAAAAGGGCCACAAAGATGCTCAGAGAGCTGGAATACCTCTTCTGAAAAAGGCTGAGAGAGATGGTCTTGTTAAGTCTGGAAAAGAAAAAGCTCATTGGTGACCTCATTGCAGCATTCCAGCACTTAAAGGGAGCTTATAAACAGAAGGGAGATTGACTTTTTACACAGTCTGATAGTGATAGGACAACAGGGAGTGCCTTTATTCTGAAAGATGCAAGATTTCAATTAGAATCAAGGGGAAATTTTTCACTGTGATTTTGATGAGGATAGTTTGGATAAGTTCACTTAAGGATAGTTTGGAATGGCCATCCTGATCTAGTGCAACAAGTCTGATCTAGGTGACAAGTCCATGGCAGGGCGTTGAAACTGGATGGGCTTTAAGATCCCTTCCATCCCAAGCCATTCTATGATTCTATGTCAGTTTTGTAACTGAAGGACTCTTCTGTCCTCTGCCATTGTTCAACACTATCACTTATCACTCAGAATGCTGTGTGACCTCAGAGAAGGGTTATTGGAAAAATTGTGCGTAGTTTGTAGACAGATTCTGAGGCAGAAATGGCATAGTACCATGCAGAAAGAAAGGCTCGTTTTGTAAAGCTTTAATTCAAAAGGCAAGCTTATGCCTACCTAATATCAGAAGTCCATCCCATTTTCAGTTGTGTAGCTTCTTTTAGAGATGAAACACACAACAAGAAGCAGATTTCATGTCAAATACTTGTTGGAATATGGTCATTTATGAAAAATAGACATAGTTAATTTTGATTTTTTTACTGGAAAATATTCTAGCAGGCCTTTGCAGATTCTACTCTCCTACTCCATCACTCAGAAGTGGGCAATACCCAAAGAAATCTAGGTTTCTGAGCCCAGTTAAATGACAGGGCCAGCTGAGCTGAGAAAAGAAGTCAAAACAAAGAAAAAAGAAAGCTCCCTGAAAAAAAAACAATCTCAGAGGTAAGTAAATCTATGTATAATGCTATATGAAAACACACAAGTAAATTTCTTCATTTCTTTCCTTTCCTGTTTTTGTTTGTTTGTTTGTTTATTTGTTTGTTTTTAAGTTCGAGAACAACCCAGCAGCGTTGGAAATTATAGTACCAAATTAGAACAAAACCCAGACTTACCTTTGATCAAATGAACTATCTGTAGGAAAAGTATAATGTGAAGAATCATGGTGTGCTGAAATCTGGAAGCCATCACCACGCAGGTTTAGAAGTCTTCAGTGACCAAGGACAACCCTTACCATATTCCCGTAATCTTTCCAAGTAAGGAACAGAAAATGAGAAGGCTGAATTGAGAACTAAAGGCATAAGTTTATACAGATACCAATGCATGTGGAGTGACACAAGGATAAGCCCATAAAAGCATTTATGTTCCTTAGCAGCAAATTAAGGAAAATGAATGAATATGTTGTTTAGAATGGAAGTCAATGACTTATGTGAAGATTCTAAGACTTCTACTTGTCCTGCAGAGACTGAGAGAGGAATTCTGAAACACTTAGGACATGAGAATGGATCTGAAGGGTGTTTTACAGGCCTGGCCTGAAGAATCTCACTTTGTGTTTAGGATAGTTCTAGTCAGTTTTTGCAGATGAAGACAGAATAAATAAAAACCCTTATAAACAAAAAAAGGAAAATGAAAAGGAAAAGTTAAGGAAAAAGTTAAGGAAAATGAAAAGAAAAAGCTAAGGAACAAGAAAAAGAAAAAGTTAAGGGACAAGAAAAAGAAAAAGAAAAAGAAAAAGAAAAAGAAAAAGAAAAAGAAAAAGAAAAAGAAAAAGAAAAAGAAAAAAAAGAAAAAAAGAAAAAGAGAAAGAGAAAGAGAAAGAAAAAGAAAAAAAGAGAAAAAGAAAAAAGAAAAAAGAAAAAGAAAAAGTTAAGGGAAAAGAAAAAGAAAAAGAATAAGAAAAAGAAAAATAGAATAAGAAAAAGAGAGAGAAAGAAAAAGGAAAAAGAAATGAAAATGAAAAAGAATGCATCACTGAATTGTGCCACTCAGCTTCTGGAAGAAGAATCAACCAAGATTTATTAAACTTCATTAACTAAGATGATCTAGGTAATGCTATCTATAATAAATTATATTTGTGTATGCCTACCAGAAATACACCCTGCAAGTGTATACTTCCAACACAAAAAGCATAATACATTTCTCTCATATGTGGAAATAGATTTCAGAATCAGCGTATTTCAGACCTCAACACAACCCCGATCATAAGAAAAGTTTCAGGAAACACTCTTTCAAGCAACTCAGCTAATAAATGAGCATTTCAGTGACTTTAATAAATAAATAAATAAAGTCTCTGCTAGCTGATAGCTTCTAATGTATAACTATAATCACAGATTAGAGTTATGCTTCATCCATTCTTAAGAAAGAAGATTGTGTTCATTTTTACTTTAAAGTATTAGAAAGAAAAGACCTTAAACAACCATTAGCAAATTGTTTAAAATGCGGAACACAGAAGTCCAAAATGTACTCCCACATATCCAGCCAAGAAAGAAGCCATTTTAATCCAGGGATGAAACCACTCACTGGAGAATGTAAAGAGCAAACAGCCACCTCGATACTCATGCAAACCTCACGTTTGTGAGTGCACAGCATTGTCTCAGCCACACTTTCATCCCTTACCTGAATGGCAAGAACCAAATGATCCATTTTAAATACAGCTCGTATTGCAGATCTGAGGAATCTTTGTCACTTTGCAGTTGTCTTGTATTCCCTGAACACAAGTACTTCCATTTTCCCTACTTATACAGAGAGTAGACTTCAATGGTTTGCTCACTGAAGTTGACAAATATGAAAGACTGAACTTCACCCCTAGGAAATTATTGACCTTTGGTCCAAAGGATTGCAGGAGATAACCAGAAGGTTTGATTTTCCTACACACCTAGGTCCAACGTGCAGCAACAGATTTGTGTTTCAACCACTTCCATACACTTGCAGAACAATTCATATGCTATTATGGCTTTCTGACAATTACTACATTGAAATGGAAAAACAGCATCAACAGGAGACAAAGAAACCAGAATCAGTAGTTGCCTAAGTCCATTATCCTTTAGAATGATTTGTAATCAGAAATACGAATATAGAAGTCAGAGACCAGGTAGGAAATTGAAGTAAGCTAGAAATGCAGTGATTTAATTACAACAGCTTTATTCAAATCCTGATTGTAGCCCTAGCCTCATTAATTCCCTTGTTATAGCAGAAATCCTTGACCTTCCCTGGGAACAACTCTTTTCAGAGACCTTACAGAAATTTTGTTTCTGAAAAAATCTACTGCTAGATCTAATTTGGTTAAAAATGATCAAAGTAGCTTAATAAGCCAGAAAGATGAAGGAAACTGGCACACTTTATGTTCAGAATCCTGATTTCCACAGCCATGCTTTTGCTTAATAAATGAATGAATGAATGAATGAATGAATGAATAAATAAATAAATAAATAACAACAACAACAACAACAACAACAAAAAACAGGAAAAAAAAACAGCAAAATCAGAATCACAGAAGTCCACAAATGAGTAAACTTCAAATGTGATTGTTTTCAGATCTTGAATGGAACATAAAAAGTATTACAGGAGAAAACACACTTCCAAGATCTAGGCATGTCAACAAAAAGAGAGCAACGTTCAAGTATGTGAGAGGAAAAACAGAATAAAACATACTAATAACGATATACCTAATAACCTGTTCATTACACACTTGTAAGTTTTATTGCAGTGCTTTCTGGCTAAATGCCGGTTGAAGAGAAAGCTGGTTTCCACAGGGGAATGAGGAGGAATATCTTTACCATGTTTGCCCTAGTGTACGGAAATGGCTTGGGAGGCAAGATGTTATTTTTGTCTTTCAGCATGAATTTTGACATTTACATCTTTCCCAATCAGTCTGGTCAAGCCTCTCTATCCTACTGGATGTTAAAAATGCAATCACAAGTTTCCCTAGTAATAAAGATATAAGGACAAAGGTTCAAAACTACCATATCCCTTACTGAAGTCTTAAGGTTCGTTCTATTCAGGTAAGAAATAATTTTTTTTTCTAAAACCATAAAGAAAATCCCCTGCATTTACAATGATACTGGAATTAATTGCTGTAGATTTAATGGAATGCACTGACAGACATGAACCTGCTTGCTGTAGTTGCATTGTTGTTTGGATGGGAATGCCCCCCTCCAACAGCACTTGATTTTTATCAGTTACTGAAAATGTGAGAAAAAGAAAGCCACACAGAAAGGTGGAGGAGAACAGGAAATGTTTTGTCTCCAATTAGTGAGATTTAAAGACATGACACCAGTTAATCTTTACTGTGAGTACATTATGAGAATGGATTAGTTCAGCAATTTGAAAACCAAGTTCTTTGCAAGAAGTTGGAAAGAGTTACCTTTGTTAAATCACAAGTTTCTCCTTAAAACACTCATGGAAGTCAACAGGGAGATTTGTATAGTAACATTTTGCTTAGGAATTTATCCATGAAGGTGATTCCGTTTTGTTTTGCTTCTCATTAAGAGAGAAAGAAGAGAAAGAGCTTTTTGCTACAAACAAAAGATAAAATAATATAATGTTAACTCATCACTGAAAGAAAATATTGTCGAGGAAGGTAATAGAGTTTCTGGAAGACAAAGGTAAGCATTGACAACTGAACAGAGCAGACAAAGACCATATTGCTTTTGAATGATTTACAATAGGTAGTTAAATTTGAAAGAGAGATGTGTAAAGGAAGACATATACTCTGCAAATGTCGTTGCCTTTGACTGCATCCAACACAATGTCTTAACCTTTGTTCATACTTTTCCTCATTATATTACATGTGCATTTATGCCTGTTATTTTACACTGAACACATGAAGAGACCAAAGGAGTCCCACAGGAATTTCATCTGAAAGATTTACTTTTGGTCGTGTTGATGATTAAGAAATCTGGATAATGTTGGGTTTCCCATCTTGGAGGTTGACACCTTTTCATGTACTACTGGCTTTTCAACACTTATCATGCTTGATTACAGGTAAAATAGTTCAATTTTAAATATATTTAATTTTAATTATGCCTAAGTTCACATAAAAGTAATAAATAATGAACACACATTTTATTTCTTTTTTACTTGGTTAACTTCAGATGCTAAAAAAACCAAGAATGCCCCTTGTACAATCTGATATCTGCTAAGGTAGTCAAGGCTGGAAGATAACATCAGCCTGTAGGGGACTTACAGACTTTAGATCAGGGAATGGAAACCAGGTGGAATTCAGCTTTAGACTTCTAGATGTAGCCAACCATGTCATGCTTGAGATTATGGGCTCAGCTCAGAGATTTAGCTGTTTATCTTTAGCTCTCTAGAGGCAGATGTCCACATGCAAGCTCAGTGTATGGGATTTCACTCAATTACCCATCCATTGGCTTCTACTGACATTTTGCATACTGTTGGCTTTTCTTCTTGAGCATTGATGCTCCAAAAGAGAACAGATTCAATGTAATGGAATAATGCCAGTGCTTCTGTGTAATGTTTATTGATCCTGAAGAAAGTACACAGGAGAAAGTTGATACTCATCTATTAATTAGAGAGGTACTTATATTGTTGGGGTGAGTCTGCTGGTACAATTGCTACCAAGCCCTTATCACTGGGGATGGATGGCTGGCACAGTGTCCATTCTGGGATGGACTGAAGTGCAGGCTGAGGCACTTTACTTGTGTTCCCAAGCTAATACAAGATCTTTCTCTGGGCTAGTCACCAATTCAGGCTGTTATCTGTGTTTTTACACATACCCAACATGTATCCTGAAGTCACTTCTACCAGTCCTGATGTCTCGGGTCATGAAATGTGTTCAAGAAACTCTACTGCGTTCAGTGAGCAAACTCACTGTTGACTGTAGAACAAATGGAACAATTAGCTAGAGCTCTATTGACAAGGTATTCAATTAAATGACTGACATGGAGGTGGTAGATCAGATACATACCCTATCTCTTTCTAAATGATACTAGGTACCACCATCTGAAAAATCAAATCCCACCTTCATTTTTCTGTTTTATAGATCCTGCATCCTGTGTTGGATCTTTGACAGACTTGTCAATTTTCATCCTTTTTTCATGATTTCACAATTTCCATCACTTAATGGCCATGAACTTTCTTAAGCTCATCTTCAGAAAACTGATGAATGGGAATATAAGCACTCTGCCATGCTGTCTTCTACTTTTGTTCTAGATTTCTCTTCTGTT